GGGGGTGGGGAGGTACAGTGGTGTCAGTGCAAAGGTTAGAGGGGAGAGGAGAGTGTTGGGGCCTGGAGAGCAGAGTGAGAGAAGGCCTGGAACCTTGAGGTGGGGGGGAGGGGCAGCCCCTCCCCAGGACCAGGTGAGCTGTCCGGAGTCGGCCTGGGAGGGAGAGGCTTCAGGGCAGAGACTGGGAAACCCGGGATGGGTGCAGGAAGCTGGGAGTGTCCTAGAGGGAGTTTTTCCTCGGGGTGGAGGCCAGTGAGTAGGTAAGTTGGGCCCAAGCGGAGAATCTGTGTGAGAACCAGAGGACGCGAGATGCCCACTGTGCGTGGAGGCTGGGGACAGGCAGGGAGCATGGGGCCCGGAATACCCTGAGGAGATTGGAGTCTGCGTGGACTCGGGGCTGGGAGAGAGGGTGGGTCAGCGCTGTAGAGTAGAGCTCAGACACTGGTCCTCGGGGCCGGAATAGCAAAAGAGGCCATTGCGGAGGACTTTTGTGTCTAAGGACTTCTGTGAGTCGGCTAGCATTTTCGTGACACTGGTAAGCCTTTGATGCCCTTCCATACGCCCTCAGCTTCTTTCTGGTCCACGGGCCGGCCTCTATCCACTGAGCCGAACCGGCCAGGGCGCCCCTCGGCTTCTTTGGGAACCATATTTGTTTGTTTTCTTGTTTATCCTGGTGCCCCCTCCACTGAAGCTGAGTTTTCAGACTTTGGAACTGGATGCACTTGGCTCCCTCCGCTCGCCCAGGCCGTGCAGGCCAGTGGGTGGTAGGTGGGCAGCGGGAAGACAGAGGCCCTCCGGGGTCTGGCTCTGGGTCTGCCGGGCCTGCTGGGTGTGCATCCAGGCTCGGGACTCCTAGCCCCCAGCCCCGTGTGCGGTGCATGAGCTCTCCTGCTGTTTCCACCCCTGGTGGGAGAAGTGGCCCAGCTCGTGGGCTGTCGTGAGGGCCAGCCACCATCTGTATCAAGGACACCTAGCAGGCACTCAGTAGGCGATAGCTGCTGCTGTCATCACCACGGTGGGCACACCCCGGAGTGTACCTGCCTTTTAAACTTGGGGACTAGTTCTGTTTTACTCCCCTCTGTATACTCAGCAGACCCCACATGGTTGGACTAAATAAATAATGAATGAAATGAATGAAAAACGCATGTGAGCAACCCCAAATCCTCGAAACTGTAGGGGATGGCATTTTATCATGTTTTATTTCTTTAAACTGGACCTGGTTATACCTTCCTTATATACTTTTAATTAAATTCCATTGTTTGAAACTAGGTAACACATGTTGCACCATTCAAAGTTGTGGTAGGGATAAACAACAGAAAGTCCCTCTCCCATCAGGGCCACCCCATGGCCCAAATCCAGAGGGTGCCATTCACATAAAAGATGGTGTGGCAGCCGCTGCTTCTGCTCAGGCTCCTGTCCACCCAGTTGCCCCTCTGCGGGCACCGCAGCTACTAAGCTCTTCTCCAGCCTTACAGAGATGGTCTGTGTGGACTGGGTGGGCCATGGGGGTGTTCCTCAACAGATTCATGCCTTGTTTATTCTACATCTTTGGGACATTGTTTCATATGGGGTGTATAAAGTGTTGCCTGCTTCCTTTAAAATAGTTACATAGTATCATTGTATGGTATAGATGGTTGTACTGTAGTTTAGCTGCTCCTCTATTTAATCAGTATTTAATCAACCTTTGTTAGGTTGTTTCTAAATGGTTTCTATTACAAACAGTGTGGTTGTAAGCTCTCATCATTCAGCCCATGTTTGAGTACATCTGGAAGATGCATTCCTCCAGAATTGAATTGAATTGGATTGCTTGGATAAAGCAAATGACTTTCTAATGGTGAAATTTCAGTCATCTGTGACATGCATAGGGCAGATATTTTTACACTGGGGTTTGGGATGTGCCAGATCCTGCTAAGGAACTAATTTTTGTGGGCCCCCTCTCTGGTAATTTGATGCTAGGAAATGATGTTTGTGGGTTTGATAGTTTGTTATTCTCTAAAGAGAAAAGAAAGAACTTGCAGAAGAAAGGTGGCTTCTTGAAGTCCAAGCAAGGTTCACCGATGAGATCTCCCTGTCCTATCTCACTTCTAGAGTAAGACCTTGCTGGGCAATGAGACACCTGACCACTCGAGACCACTCAGCATTGAGTTCACTCGAGACCCTGACAGGGAGCCCAGTTCAGGGTGTATGTAGTCCCCAAAGAAACATATGGGCTCAAGAGAATCTGACCTCAGAATCATCTAGTGAGGGAAAAAGGAATGGCCCCCACTGTTCCTACTGAGGATGCCATTCCTATTAACAACACAGGATGGATGGATGGATGGGTGGATGGATTGATACATAGACATAGATAGGTAGATATTGATCTAGCAGGCATGAATTTAGACTTGCTTTTGGATTTGGACTCTACCACCTACTAGTTATGGGACTCTGGGGAACTTCTTTGATCTCCCTGAGCCCCAGCCTCCTTTGTCTATAATGGGATTAACAATGTCTTCTTTGGAAGGTAGTGTCGAGGAACCAATGGTTATAAACCAATGATGCTTAAAGGGCCTGGCACGCAGTGGGTTTCCATATATGGTGGGGGTTGCTATCATTTCATATATGACGGAGCATTCTCTGGTTGGTGTATTGAGGGCACTTCTTTGGCAGGAGCCAATGAGTTTGTACTTCATGCTCTGTTCAACCCCTGCCTTCAAGGGGCTGACTCCCTGAGGTCGGGGTTCTCAGCCTTCTTCTCCTTTGAGCATGCATGCGGTGACACTCAGGTGCCCGGCGCACCCCAGCTCACAGGCCAGGAGTTCCAGCCAAACTCACTTCTCTCCAGGCCAGGAAAGCAACATATTAAAGCAATGACCTAGATCCACTTGAATTTATATTAAAACAATAAATAAATAAAGCGAAGCAAAGGCAATCATCCTCAGAGTTTGGTTTCTGGCTACAGTTTATTTACAAAATAGCCCCCAGCTTCTACCTTCTACCCTTTCGAGTAATAATGGGAAGTAAGGGCTAACAGGTACCTATGGGCCTCTCATTTGATTGGTTTGGGGGTAAACTTCATTCTTTCCTCCAAATATGAAGTGAGGACAATTATCAGAGGGGTCTGGCCACTGTCCCCACATGGTGATGGAATGGTGCTGTCTTTGACCTTTGTTGAGTGCTGGCTGAGGTGCTAAGCCCTCCACAGAGACCACGGGGAACCACACATCCCAGATCTTAGCCAGTGCCTGGGCTGCTTGGCCGAGAAGCTCAGTCTGCCAGGGCCGGGCAGGCTGTCAGTCCAGCCGGCAAACACAGGCGTGACCTGCCAAAGCAGCTGCTTTAAGCCTCAGCATCTTCCACTGGGGGATGGAGCCCAACCTCACCTGACCCGCCCTGCACCCGCCAGCTCTCTCCTGGCGTGCTCAGCACATGGTTCCCGCAGCTATTAAAGCGTCCCCTGTCAGTTTTAAACACGTCTCTGTTCCTTCCCGGGCAATATTTTTAAATTTTTGTTAGAGATTTTATATAATCTCAAACTCCTCACTAAAATGGCCATGGGGTTTACATAGTTTTCTCTCTCCCAGAGTAGAGTTGAAAACATACATTGATGGTTTAGAATCCCACTGGGTTCTTGTCCTTCAGATAGAGAGAGTTGCGGAAGCCCGGGCTTGTCCGGAGCCTTCCCCAGGGCACTGCCTTTGGGCTGTTTTCCCGCCCACTGTACGGTCAGCCAGTCATTCATCACACACTCGCTGCATTCCCACGTTTGCGCTGGGCACATGGTAGGCACTGGGTCTGTTCTGATGGAGAAGTCGTGGGCTGTGCCTTGGAGGCCAACACCATGGGACCTCATTGAAACCTGTCTTTCTAGAGTGTAAGAAGTCAGCTTATAGCCCTGCCTGATTTGGCTCAGCAGTTAGAATGTCGGCCTGCAGTCCAGAGAAACCCCGGGTACGGTTCCTGCTAAGGGCACGTACCTCAGTTGTAGTTTGTCCCCGGCCCTGGTTGGGGTCGTGCGGGGGGCAGCCACTCGATGTGTCCCTTTTACATCGATGTTTCTCTCTCTCTCTCCCATTCTATCTGAAAAAAAATGGGGCAAAAAATGTCCTCTGGTGAGGATTAAAAAAAAAAAAAGTTATAGAATTTTTTTCTAAATGTAATTTCCTTGGGTTTTAAGACCATCTCTATATTTTAAAAATCTACAGTACAGGGGTGGGCAAAAGTAGGTTGGCAGTTATAATATGAATAAATAATACAATAATTAATACCCAGTAATACAAGAATAAACTCTATTTCGCACACTCACAATTGTAAACCTACTTTTGCCCACGCCTGAATTTGTTCGTTCACCGAAAATCTGTGTCTGTGGGCACTGTGACCTGAGCAGTGAGGGGTATGGAGAAGAAAACAAACACTCTACCTCCAGGGACCTGAGTCTAAACAGCAGAAGGCACACGTAGCAGGAGATTCAGCCTGGTTCATGTGTGACCGCACATGGCATTCATTTATTTGTTCACTGGGTCACAGTATTTTTGGGGTGTACTGTGTGGTTAGGCTGCGATCGGCGCTCTGGGGCCTGTGGAAGAGGCCTAGGCACTTGGGGTCTTCCTGGGGGAGCGAAAGGGGTTCACAACCAGGTAGAACATCAGGTCAACTGCAATCCAGGCCAAACTTAGTGGCTCAAAGAATGTTCTCAGGGCGCAGGAGCCCCAGCATGAGCCAGTATGTACCTGCTGGCGTCTTCCTAGGGGCAGAAGATTCTGAACCGGTTCTGAGGGATGGAGAGGCCTCTGGGGGCAGGGAGGACATTCTAAGCCAGGGGATGGGCATGAACAAAGGTCTTGAAGTGTTAGGAATTTCTAGAGACTGACACAAGAAGGGGAGGGAGGGGGAGGAACTTGCTCCAACCAGCACCCATCCTGGGGCCGCGCCAGAGGTGGACTGCATGTGGTATCTGTGGGGAATCTGCCACCTTTGGGGGAGCTGTGCTTTCTCATGTGCTCCCCTTTGTCCCCCTCCAGATTCTCTGGCCCATCAAAGGACGGTACAATGACCTTCACGCGCCACCTGAAGTCCTGCCCTCTCTCTGCCATAAGGAGTTTCATTCTACGAAAGAAACCAAACATCAGAAACATGTCCGGCATGGCTGGGGGTGAGTGGTGCTAGGTGTTTAAAAAAAGAGAAAAGAGTTCCTTGGGTCATGACGTTTGGAAAACCAGTGTGTGGCGCAGGCATCCCTAGGATGTCCTGCTTCTGCAGGAGACAGAGAAGAATGCTATTCGCTCTGATCACCACTTGGCCTCCCAGAAGGAACGGGCACTCAGGCCAGACTCGGGTGTGAACACCTGTCTGCACAGGTGGGCTTAGCACCACGTGGCACTGCGTGGTCACCCCAGCTCCGTAGGGAGAACCGCCGATGGCCTCGGAGGATGACAAGGGTCTTCCTCCCGGAAAAGTGCCCCCGGATCATGCTGTATTCTAAACTGGTTCTGATTCGGACCAAGTCTCCTTTCTTTGTTCTGATCTTCTCTGGGTGGCACCCATCTCCCCCCTGTCTCCCAGAAATGACACCCAAAGATCTAAAAGACCCTTCAAGAGAAAACATATCCAAGTTGTTATTGACCTGAGTCCCAGCAGAACTACATAACCCAGGGGATGCACAAATCACATGAGACTGTAAAGAGCCCTCCCCACATGAGCCCCTCCGAAAACACGCCCCGTAGCCCTCTATTCCATGCCCCGTTAGTAATGGGGACAACTCGGGGACTTTCTATGACCAGAAGTGGAGATGAACAAAAGCCAAATGCAGTGGCCCTAAAGCCCATTTAATTAAAAAGGAAACAAAGAAGCTTTGTGCTCATAAGACCTCCCTGGTTTATGGTATTAAAAACCGAATTGGCTCTCACGGCAGCGCTGGAGGTAAGGGGGTAGCGAGGGAGGCACGGCCTCCGGGCTGGCCGAGTTCCCTCCACCTCATTCCAGAGTATTTCTGGAGCACGCTGGGCTCGCTCGAGACATGCAGTCAGCTTCCTTGGGCCTTCAGCAGCTGGTGTGTCTGGTTTGTCCTCATTTTGGAAGTCTGTCTGGAGCACTGGCAAGACCACGGGTTCCGGGCAGTGGGAGCAGCAGCCAGTCCTAGACTCCTCCCTGCAGGTGGTGACGTCTACTTCACTTCACCGTCCGGACAGGGAAGGTGCCGGGGCGTGGCCGACCCATCCTGGCGAGGCTGGTGCCCAAAGCCCAGTGGGCACATGAGAGAGACTCACGGGCCTCGCGTCTCAGGTCGGCATCCAGGCTGTGCCAGGCACCGCTGTGTATCCCTGGGGACGTAGTCCCCTCTCAGCCTGTTTCCTCCTGCACCACACAGAGGGGCGCAGAGATCACAGGTGACAGCACGGAGGGCTGGCGCGTACTGAGCACTCGGCAAATATGAGCTGGTGATACTGTTGCAGGAAAGAAACGTCCATGTGACGATGGAGCAAATCTGGCGTTAGGAGAACTCTGCCCACAGTTGCTTCTCCAAGAGTATAATTATGTTTTCCTTTGGGGTGGCCTTTTTTTTAAATTTTCTTTTTAAAAGAAAATAATTTTTTTTTGAAACATAACTTTTTTTTAATTTGTTTTTTTCTTCAGGTATAGAATGATTCCTAATTTTTAATTTTTGTTAATCCTCACCTGAGGATATTTTTTTCATTGATTTCCAGAGTAGACGGGAGGGAGGGGGAGAAAGAGAGAGAGAAACGTCGATGTGAGAGAGACACATCTATTGGTTGCCTTCCACATGAGAGAACATGCTGAACCCACTGTTTTGTTTACCTAGTTTGTCCCTTTAATGATGCAGCCCCAGCACCTCTTAATGTCATTAAATATTTCTTCCATAACATAACTTCAAGTGTCTATACAGGGGCCCATTGTGTGAATGTCACCCACCCTCTGCTTCCCGAACACTGTGTGCTAGGTAATATGCACACAGAGGTCTCACTGAGGTCTGGAGATTACGGCCACGTTATCCCTGGGAAAACGGAGCCCAGGGTCGCACTGCTGGGCGGGCAGACTCGGCACTCAGACCCAGCTGTTTGCCTCCACAGCCCGAACCCCTCCCACCTAGAGGAGGACTGGGTCTTCCTCCAGAGCTCCGCTGCGACATCCCTTTGGAGGGAGTGAAAGGGGTAGGAAAGAATATGGGAATTAATAGAAAATGCTGGAAGAGTGAGAAAACTAGTCATAGTGGGGCACTAGCCACAGTCAGAAGAACGTCCATCATCCTTTGCGATGTTGATCGTGGTTGCTTTGCTCTGACCTGGCCGGGCGGGGAGCGCCTCGGGAGTTCACCTCGGGAACGCTGTCCGTTCTCCTGCCTGAGGACCGGGGGCAGCCGGGCATCATGGGAAGAGTAGCACCCTGATTATCTATCGAATGCTGGACCCTGGACCGTGACTGTGACTCACTGGCCACCAGCCCCTGCACCCCCGCCCACATTGCTCCCCCCTTGCCTGGCATTGTTTCTCTGCCCTTTACAAGCAGCTGGCAAGTGAGGGGGCCAGGGCAGACTGTAAGGGGTGACCCACTGCTCCCCATACTGCGGCAACATTGGAATAAACGCCCATATACGATTCAACCTGGTCTCTGCTTAATTGGCTCAGGCAGTGATAGGCGGCCCAGACCCATTCGTTGTCCGGTCTCAGGGGATTCTGTGAGCCACTCAGCCAAGAATCTGCCCAGACGAAACATGTGAACAGTCTTTCTCAAAAAGGATACCCCATGGCCGATGTTACACTCACTCACCTTAGTCACCCGGGCGATGCACGTTAAAACCTCAGTGCGATGCCTCCGCACACCTGCGGGGTGGCTGGGATGAGAGAGGTCAGCAAAGCTGAGTGTGGGAGAGACTGTGGTGCGACCAAGAACCCACACCACCGGTGGGTGGGAATGCAAACTGGTACCACCATGCTGGAAACCGCTTGGCAGTGTGTACCAAAGCTGGACACACATGTACCCACAATCCTAGGTGTTTGCCAAGTAGGAGTGTGCCCCCGTGTACTCCCAAATGCATGTACTGCAATATTCTTTGCAGCCACGCTGGAAGCCATTCAAATGCCACCTGTGATAGTTTGGGGGGGGAATACCCTACGGCAATGAAGACACCACACAGCAGTGAGAATGAACCAGCGGTTGTTAAATGCAGCAATGTGGGTGCTTCTCCCAAACATATTGCTGAGTGAAAGCAGCTACACTCAAAAGACCCGCACTGGATGATTCCACTCTGTGAAGAACACTATATGAAAAACAGGCAGAAGGAATGTGTGATGTTAGAAGTTAGGGCAGTGGCTACTGTTGCAGGGGAGGGGTGTGAGGTGACTGAGAGGGGAGTGAGGGGGATTCTGGGATAATGTTTGCTTTCTGGACCTGGCTGCTGGTTACGTGGGTGTGTTCATTTCCGGAGGTCATCAAGCCGTGCATGCGTGTGCACTTTCTGTGTGTGCTGTAGTGCAATAAAAGTTAAACTAAGAAGCCTCCACCAAGAGTAACCGACTGGGTGTGTTCTTTCTCTCACCAAACCCAGGGCTCCGACCAGCCAGCATAGTGGCCCTGCACAGGTCCCTCGCCCCGGCCTTTGAAAAGTTCTGCCAGGCCAACAGTGGCCCTCTGCCCCTGCTGGGCCGAAGCGAGCCAGGCAAGTGGACGTTGCCTGCCCTGGGCGCTGTCTCAGACACCAGGTAAGACTCATGGGTTAGCGGGGTTAAAGCTTGGCAGTGGCCAGCTGCTGCAGCCAGGAGTCTCTGTCACCAGGGACCTCTGTCCAGCCTCGGGACCCCTGGCATGGAGCTTCATTCATGACTGGTGCTCAGAAAGTCACTACCCTCACCCCGTTCCCACTCCTGCATTCATCCCCTGCCCCTGCCCTTGCCCCGGGTATAATCTCTGGGCTCACCAAGAAAACCCAGCCCTGGGGAAATCCCTCTAGGACTCCATCCATCCACATCGTCAGCAAAGCCAGAAACCCGTCTGCACAGGGTGAGGAAGAAGTGGCCCACTGGTGTGACTTTTCCTATCACTGCATCCGGCCACGTGACTCTCCCATTTGAAATTCTTCCTGCCCCCCTGCAGCTTACACCCTAGCCTCCATCAGGGACCGTAGTGACCTGGCACCAGCCCAGGGTCACCCCAACCTGCCACTCCATCATCCCAGCCCTCCCCAGAAAGAAAACTCCCAGGAACATCTGCCGTTACCATTTTGTGGACTCCAGAGGTGGGAGGGTCCCTCAGAGACCCCACCTGGGCTGAAGTCAGCTCCTTTACCTTCTCCCCAGCACCTGCAGACCACTCAGTGGGCCACGGTGCCTGATGCCTCCACTGCCCCCTCTGCCTAGGATGTGCTTGTGTCCTTTCCAATGGGTGAACTCCTATGCATCCTTCAGAACCCAACTCCAGCACCACCCCCTTAGTGGGAAAGAATGGATCTCTCCTTCCCTGCGTCACTCCTCTGCCCATACCGTGAACACTCACTGGTCGCACCTGCCGTTGTGGGATTTGAGCTCCTGAGGGCTGGGCCTGTGTCCACTCCATCACTGTAGCCCCGTCACCTGCTCTGCGCCTGGCATGGAGGGGCAGCTCAGCCAAAGGGCTTTGGAGCAGATGAACAGGCTTGTGACCAGTTGTTCAGCCCTGCAGAGGGTTTCTCTAAGGAAAGAGAAAGGCCGCCCCTGGCCAGCCCTGAGAGCCTCCCTGAGACATGTGTCCACTGGCCCCTGGGCCTGCGGCCCTGCCTCAACGGCAGAGGGGCCCCATTGTTTTCTTCGTGCTGGTTTGGTTGGTCTCTGAGGTTACAGGACATATAATGGGGTGGGGCAGGGGCGACAGTATATACATGCTGATTTAACAGTTTCCAATCTGGCAAGATTTGAAGGATGCCAGCAAGGCCCTCTGCTCAAAGCTACGTTCCCGACCTCAGGCCAGTGACCGAGTTTAAGCCCCAGCTGTCCTCTGCTCTCTCCCTGGTCCATTTTGAAAGTGCATGGTCCACGGCCATATGGTGTCTGTGAACTTTCTTTCCCTGTCCCCAGGATGGACCGTCCCCAGTTCCGTAAGTATGAGTTCGGTGCCTGCACGGGCAGCCTGACCTCGCTGGAGGAGTACTTGGAGCAGCTGAAGGACATGGTGACCTTCTTCCTGGGCTGCAGCTTCTCCTTGGAAGGGGCCTTGGAGAAAGTGGGGCTCCTCGGAAGAGACCCAGCGGGCCACGGCCACGTGGGTGCATACAAGGTAGGGACATGAGCCATAAGGGCAGACTGACTTGAAAATGTGGATTGCCCTGTATTCCCTGTGGTGGGGAGAACATCGGCTCAGGAGGCGGGAGACCTAGGCGCTGGCCCAGCCCAGCCGCTCAGGACAGGCAGTTTCCACATCCGGGGAATGGGCCACCAGCCTCCTGCCCGCTTCGGGACTGCTCTGAGCGCCCCGGGCCGGGAGGGGAATCGAGCCCTTGCAGCCGACCACCGCGGCTGTGCAAACCAACCCCGTTTGGAATTTCTCTGGCTCCTTGCACAGGGCATCTCGGTGAGATTTCTGAAAATCCTCCCTGGCTCCAACTTCCTGGCATCAGTGAGAATGTGCCTGGCCGGGTGAATGCCCAGGGATTTGTGGCAGAGCCGCGGCAAGGCCATTAGCTGCTGGGTTATGTTTCTGTCAGGAAAGCTGGGTCATGTTCTTGGCCAGAGGTGGCCGCTGGCGGTCACCATCGCAGGGTGGTCCTGTCTCCTGGGAGGTGCCCACTGTCAGGGCCTGCCCCTCTGCTTGTCAGGTTTTATCCCAGCCACTGCTGGTCGTGGGGAAAGAACTAGACTCCCTCATCCCGCTGACCCGTCCGGGGACATCTGTGTGAAGTCTGAGAAGTTACCTCGCTGGATTGATGGCCAGCCAGCCAGTGGCCCGCGCCAGGTTTCTCTGTGGAGGGCTCAGACAGGATTTTGTGTCGGGCTCCAGGGCTTTCTGAAAGCCTGCCGGTCTGGGCTCCTGCCAGAGAGGCCCGAGCTGCCTCTGATGAGAAGCAAGGCTGCCGGCAGGGTGACCAGGTGCCTGCGTGGTCTGCCTGCAAGTAGGGAAGGGCGGGGCCGAGCCTCCGCAGCTGGCAGGCCCAGGGCAGGGGCAGCCGGGAACTCAGCCCGTTAGCAGGTGAGACTGGGAGGACCTCGTGCCCATCACGGGTGGCCTTTCATTTTAGTTGAGAAAACTGAGGCCTAGAGAGAAAAGAGGACTTTCTCAGGTCCCAAAGTCAGACTGGACCCAGGACTCCTGGCTGCCATCTAAAATGTCAGCAGTGGAGGGGTGACTAACCGCTGCTTTGCAGAGGTGCCTGTCACTGCGCGAGTCCGCGGCCAGCAGAGCCCTGGTTCCCCACCCACCTCGCTGCCCGGTGGCTACCAAGCAGCCTGTCTCAGGCCGACATCTCTGCCCATCGGCTTCTGGGAGCAGTGGCCCTGCCGCCCTCCGGGAGTCAGTGGGCTGCTCTGAGGGGATGAAGTGCACCCGAGAAGGAGGTGCCTCGGCCTTGGGGATTGCTGCCTGTCCGAGAGGGTCCTGGCATGGGGCCCCTCCCGGGCGCTGTTCCGCAGATGCTGCCCTGGCCGGCGCACCCAGGTCTGCGCCGGCTGCTGCCCGGGTGCTGCCAGCACACCCTCCGGGCGGCCGCCAGTCCGTCCCAGCAGATATCCTCCCGGCCGTGTGCTGAGTCTTTCACAAGCCCCTCTGCAGGGTCCAGAATCCACCGGGGAAACACCTCCGCCAGTGAGTCACACAGGTCATCCCGGGCAGCTCCTGTCGAGGCAGGACAGAGAGGCAGCGCCCAGTGGGTCCGGGCACAGGCCTCCATTCCCTCTGTGGGCTCTTGAGGCCGAGGGGACCGGACTCCTGCTCCCTTGGGTCCCTCTGCCCCGATTTCCCCAGAGGTTTCACCCGTGGGCCACGGCCACTTGAGGCCCATGGAGAAAAGTCAGAGGGTCCATGAAACTGAATGGAAAGGAAAATCATGTTTTTATTTTCAGAGCCTCAGACTAACAGTGAGCGTTTCCTTTGGTCATGTCGACCGACCCCTGGGAACCAGACGTTTTCATGTCGCATCAGTTCTCCCAGACATCTCAGGGACAGCGTGCTGGTCACGACTTCAACGTTGGACTGGTAGCCCTGTCGTCTTGCTCCTTCACCTGTTAATGAAGAAACATACATGTTGCTGTATCATACATTTTCACAATTTGATAGCGGCATTTGCAGTATAACTGGTTTCCTTTATAATCCTGTGCATTTGCTTTTCTGTGGTTAAAAACATTACTTTGATGGGGCCCCGTAGCTGCGCCAGACTCCCGAAGGGGTCCACAGCCCACACAGAGTTAACATTCTCTGTTTTAGACCAATAATGACCAGCAAAGTTCCTCATCTGTATGTCGCACGAAAGCAGAAGCTATATTTTTATAAAAGCTACTGGGACCTCCTACCTACTTCATTCACTGCCTTGAACTCTTTGTACTCAGAGCTCCGATCTGTGCTAATTCTATTTTTTAACATTTTTTTAACTTGATTTCTTGGCAGACAACAGTGCCTTGCGCCACCATTGCTGGCTTTTGCTGCCCTCTGGTGGTCACAATGAGGCCCATCCCCAAGGACAAGCTGGAAGGGCTGGTGCAGGCCAGTTGCTCCATGATGGGTGAGCAGGGACAACCCATTCACATCGGCGACCCAGGTCAGTGTCCACGCGTGTGCATGGTTCTGACAGCTGCCCTGGGGCTTTGGCCTGAGCAGACAGGAACTTACTGTGCTCCTGAGCTCCTATAGCTTGCCCTCCCACCGCTGTATTAACTGCTGGGTTTACAGACGCCCCTGGGGTTAAAGGTGCTGCCCCTGGCAGAACAGCTCCTGTGAACTTCAGGCGAACCTGGGGTGGGGGAAGCAGGTGGTGGAGCAAGGCAGCAGAGCTGCTTGTCCTGAGATGGAGCTCAGCAGCCGCTAGTCTAGGCTGTTCAGAGGCAATTCTGGGTAGGACACAGCTTCCTTCCAGATGTTAACCTGAACTGAAATCCATGGATCCCCAGCATCTGAACTCAGTCTGAGTGAGGAAAAGAAACCTGAGAGTAAGTGAGCAGGTCCAAGAGTGGAAGCTGCCCAGGCCTCTCGGCGGCTCCCAGAGGGGCCAGTGGGAGCCTTGGACTGGGCCCTGGGGCGAGTGAGCCTTAGGGTAGTTGAACTTGCTCGGCCGTGTAACAGGAAACTCCGACCGAGCCTGGCATTCTGTGAGCATGCAATCAACACTTCCACCTCCTCACAGAACAGTGATCTCAGGTCCGCCCACAGCAGAGTGTCTGCCCAGTTTTCTCATGAGTGGCACCCATCTTTGCTGTCCCTGTGAACACTCAGTGGCCGGCCAGGGGTAGGGACACTGTTGGTGGTCAGGCAACAGAGTTTAGGTCTGCATTGCATGAGTTGGTCTGTACCAACATAAATTCAAAAACACTGCCCTCGCTAGCAGTCTGTGCATGGAGGTGTTGGGCGGAATGTGCCCGAGCCTCCTCTGAGTGCACAGCAGGGCTCGGAGAGTCTGCATCGCTCCAAATGGACGAGAAGTCACCAAGTCAAGGCCGATTTCTTTTCTCCCCGCCCTTCTCCAGTGCCACCCACGGCAGTCCTATGACTAGAGCTCCTCTTGGAGAAGGAACCACGCACTTCTCAGCATGTTCAGCTCGGATGGTAGCGGCCGGTGCAGGACCCGGAGGAATTACTTTTCTTTCTCCCTCTGCAGAAATGCTGGGAATCCGAGATCTCTCCAAACCTGACTACGGGCATGCTGTGGTGTGTGAGCCAGGGGAGGTCCCGGTGTTCTGGCCTTCTCCGCTGACCAGTCTCGAAGCTGTCAGCAGCTACAGTACGTTGGGCTTCAGCGGGCAGTGCTCTGACCTGGGATGGCAGCTGGTGGGGCTGTAGTTCCTGAAAAGCCAGGCTTACGGTGCAGTGACTGCGTCAAGTCATGAGAGACGTATAGCCCACAGTGAAAAGGTATCTGGCTTCTTCTTTTTTCATTCCAGGGATGGGTCCTTTATCCCTTGCTTGTCCTTCAGCTTGCTTGTCCTTCAGCTAAAATACATCTTTTTAAATACACACACACATACATATATATATGTTTTTATTGATTTTTAGAGAGAGAGGAAGGAAGAGGAAGAGAGAGAGAAACATGAATGTGAGAGAGAAACATTGATCGGCTGCCTCCTGCACGCCCCCCCTACTGGGGATCAAGCCTGCAACCCCGGATGTGCCCTGACCAGGAATTGAACCAGTGACCTCTCGGTGCATGGGACGACGCTCAGCTGAGCTACACTGGCCAGGGCTCCAATACATCTTGATTAAATATATTTCTCTCTGTAGAAGGCTGATAGCCTGTTCTTTTAGACTGACCTTTTGAGACATTGTGGAGGTTGGTGTGGCTTTGCCAGCAAAGGTGAAAACAAGCAACACAAGTGAATGAACCATTCCACATGGCGCTCGCAATCCATGCTGTCAGTGCACTTTTACCCAGAGGCCCAGGGTGCTGTTACAACGAAGAGACACATGAGGGCCCTAACTAGCTCACAGTAAGGGTGGGACAGGAGAGAAACATAAAAATAACTATTGCCACCCTGGCTGGTTTGGCTCAGCGGTTAGAGCGTCGGCCCTTGGACCAATGAGTTGCAGGTTCGGTTCCGGCCAAGGGCATGTACCTCCCCGGCCCTGCTTGGGGTCGTGCTAGAGGCGACCACTTGATGTGTCCCTTTCATATCGATGTTTCTCTCTCTCTTCCTCCCACTCTAAAAGAAATAAAATAAAATAAATAACTGTTGCTGCCCGTTGTCGTAGACACTAGAACATTGTAGTGTCGGCCACACTTGCACTACAAACCATAGAATTGAGCATCACTTTCAGTTTGTTTGAAAGTGTTCATGGAACTTTAGCTCATGATAGGAAAAGATATCTCTGATACGCTGATGAGGCGTACAACCCAACACCCATGGGATTCTGTTTATTTAACATAAATGTATTGGCACCTACTATGTGCCAGGCATGGGCTCAGAGCTTAGGAAAAAATTCTGCATAAGACAAGATGCAGTTCTCAGGGAGCTTATGGTCCTTTCCAAGTATGTGTGTGCTCACGTGTGCACACTCACCCACACTCATGCAGCAAGTACCCTCCAGCACGGTGGCCTCACCCCCTCTCCTGCTGCAGCCACGGGGGTGCCCGCAGCAGGGGTCTCGCTGCCCTGGGCATCCCTGCACACTCCAGCCCTTTAGTTCGGACTTGTGATCATATATTTGATCATAAATGAGAACAAGTGACAATAGTGGTCAGAACCAACCTTGAATCTTTCTAAATTACAAAAATCATGTTCAAACTCTAAAATCTAAACTTCTGTTAGCAGTAGATGAATTGCTGCACCTCCCAGCTGAGGGGCACCCCTGTCGCGCTCTGAGCTGGCTGCGCTGCGGTGTACCTGGCTGTAGAGTAGCCAGTTGTAGGGACTGTCCAAAGTCCAGAAGCACGGTGATCGCATTCCTCCGAACCTCTGCCACTTCTCCTTCGACATCATCTAAAAGTGAAGTTAGAAGACATTCCACTGTTTTCTGTGAAATCTAAGGTGTTTCCTCAGTTCACATGTACATTTCCTGAGCACCTTTTATGTGGGAGGCACTGTGTGGGATCCTGAGATGAATAGGCAATGGTCCCTCATCTCCGGGAGCACACGACTGAGTGGGGTGAGAGGCCCAAGGATAATAAGACCCCGAAGAAAGCAGATGTAAGCTAAGAACAGTAAGAACAAAACACCTGATGGGCAGGCGCAAGACACAGAATGAGCAAGACACAGCACCTGGTTCAAGAGGCAAGCCGTCATTTATGGAGGGCTCACGCCGGACCAGGCACTTGACCGAACACTTTCACGTGCATTTTCCAGTTTCGTTCTGACCAGCACATGAGGCATGATCGTTATTTTATAGTTGTGGGTGCAGGTTTAGAGAGGATAATGTTGCATCCCAAACTCAAGGTGTTGCCGGGCCTCAGTCATGTTCTTAACAACTCTGTTCAATGCTTCACATTGTCCGTTGGGGAGAGTGTTTTAAAAAATAAAATTAGCATAAACCAAAGCAAGAGACAAGTGCTAGGAGAAAAACAGAAGCTACATTCAGAGAGAGCTACTCGTTAGCAAATCGAACATTTGCTGCAAAGGGAAGCAGTCTGGCTGGTGCATGGTAGAGTTCGGTAGGTGCTTCCTCATGTCCACGGGATTAAACTGATGAACCCCAGGGCCCCGACTGCAGCTGTGGCTACACCCCACTTCTTCTCCCACAGTCACCTCATGTTCACTTTCTTAAAATTTGGGGGCTCCTGTTTAAGTGGAACTTGATTAAGCCATAAGCCAGCATATGGTGCCAGCAAATCGTGTAAGGAGTGCAGCTGGCAGAGGGGTACGTGGCGCCAACGTGTCCGTCAACAGCAGGCTGGACCAGGGTGGATGGGGTTTGATGCCACAGGGCGGGCTCATCCCTCTTGCTGTGTGTTTTAGAGACTCCGCTGGCTTTCACCAGCGCTCCAGGTTGCACCGTTATGACCCACCTGGAGGATCTGAAGGGTCCGGAGGCTCCAGCCAGTTGTCTCACCCCTGAGGGAATTCCAGAGGTCGTTCCCATTTCCCAAGATCCTTTGCACTACAGCATTGCATCAGCTTCAGCCGTTCAGAAGATCAGAGAGCTGGAGACTATAATTGGCATAGACCCAGGTAAGAAACAAAGCATTCACACCGTCATGGCCTGGGGAAATCAATCCATCACTGACGTGATGAAACAGACAGCATACAATTGTATCTGCACTATGGTTTTTAAAAATGTTGCCCTGGCCGGTTTGGCTCAGCAGTTAGAGTGTTGGCCCGCGGACCAAAAAGTTGCAGGTTCAACTCTGGTCAAGGGCACGTACCTCGGTTGTGGTTTGTCCCCGGCCCTGGTTGCGGTCATGTGGGAGGTAACCAATCAATGTGTCTTTTTTTATATCGGTGTTTCTCTACCCCCCACCCTCTATTTCTTTCACTCTCTCTCCCCCCCCCCCACTGTATCTGAAAATAGATGGAAAATTATCCTCAGGTGTGGATTAAAAAAAAATGTGTATACTGTATACGAATCCCAAAAAGGCTAAAAGTAAATGCACCAAAATACTGATAGTGATGATCTCTGGGTAGTGGAATTATGGGTGATTCTTTCTTCTTTATCCCTCCCCCCCAAAATGTTCAACCTTAAACATGGGAGGGAGTTTGGGAGGCAAGCTCATTAGCTGGATACGTTGCCAGAACTAAATTGGAGTTGGCGAGGTAAGAAAAAGGGAGACGGCTGTCTATGTAACCAGATGACACAGTTTAAACATCACCCATGTATTTAACAGTGGCCCCAATCTTCCCTATTGGTGCCATTGCCCTGGGATTGGGCATAGAACAGGTTTTTTGTACCAGGCAGCAGGGGAGGGCAGGGGCTGGATTGCTACTCCCTGGGGGACCCTGGTGGGCAGCACCCTAGTTTGCCTCACAACAGTTTGCAGCCAACATGTATATTGCAGTTGTGTCTCAAAAGACAGCCCTTCTGTGGTTTGTGAGCCTCTGGCTTGCTAGCCAGGGACAGGGCTAGTGGGAACCATGAGGGGTCTGGTTCCAATTAGGAGGAGGATTGCTGGAAGCTGGTTGAAGGGCTTTCAACTTCTGCATCTTCCTTTAAAAGCCACATTTCTAATCCCAATGGCCAGCAGAGGGCGCCCTTGTGCATGGGTGGTTTGTGGGTTTTCTGTTTTATTTTCGTGGTGATAAAGGCTCACAGACAAGTAAGGCGTACACTTCACAGCTGCTCTCCACCTCAGTTTCCTCATCAGTACAACAGGAGTAATAACAATTATACCTCCCTCTCGGGGTTCTGATAGGTAATAAGAAAAATAGCTATTATCTACTGAGTTTACTCTGTCTGGGCCAGGCATGTGCTAAAAGCATTTACATGTTTCAGCTTATTAAATTCTCCCAATAACCCTGTGAGGCAGCTATTATGAACTTCCTTTCATGGAGGAGGACACTGAGGCATATAAGGTTAAGAAACTTGCCCAAATCCACAGACCTGGTAGATGGAAGTAGATGTTTGGTCAGAACTTGAACCCACGCCCTTGACTCCCAGGCCGTGATCACTAAGTGTTGGGTAGCACGGAATCGGAATGCAAATGGTGTGTTAGCCTCTCCTAGGCAGTTAAGTGCACTCAGGCCCCTCAGGCCCCACACCTGATTACTCACCTGCCTTCTCATGGCTGTGATTCTAGACCTGGGTTCTTTGCACTTGGACTGTCTGCGAAGGGGTTTGTGGTCTCCGGGCTGGCCCACCTGATATCTGTTCTCCAAGCAGAAACCTGGGTTGATGGTGGTGGGGTCCCTGTGGAGAGCAGAAGAGTGAGACCAACCTGGGGAGGTCGACACTCCAGGCTGGAGTCCTGAGACCCAGGCAGAGCTGATCATGGTGACACTGGGTAGAGAACAGTGCCTGAGCAGGGCCATTGAGCAGACAGCTGGGTGCCTTTGTGTGGCTAACTGTGGCCCAGGAACCCCCCTCCCCCCCCAATTATAGAGGGCTCTGCAGTAACAAAAGTTCCTGTGCAATCACAGGACATGGCTTTTTGCTTGTTTGCTTGTCTGTTAGGTTGTTCATTCATTCATTCATTCATTCATTCATTCATTCATTCTGCAGGGAATATGGTTCTCTTAACATACAGACACACAGTGAATGTGGGACATTACCCCCACCCATTATGCACCTTTTAGGACATACGTATGTACAGAGGTAAATGCTCATGGCTGTGCATACCTAGACCCTCTTACACAGTTGATCTCCTTGGTGGATTTTTTAAAAATTTCTGTAACACTTTCTCTATTACCCACAAACATTCTTATCTACACTGATGGCTCTCCCACTCAGCTCAAGGATCACGAGGGAAGATGAATTATTGACTGCCATTAGCTCAGAAAAAAAAAATAACTGCGAAGTACATTTACTGCAGACGCAGTCCACTCACAGTTTAATAAAAATGACCTGGTGTTAGGTCGATGCTCAACCACTGAGCCACACCGGCCGGGATAAAAATGACCTGGGAGGTCATCCGCAGCACCCCCTTTGTGCTTGTGCAGACTGGGCGTCAGTCTTGAAGCGTGAGGCTCGGGGGAAGGCAGATTTAGGACTGTCTGGGCGTGCCAATATCACCTATTAAGGACCATCTTTAACCCTCCGGAACAGCAGATGCTTCATTCCTACTGCATGAAATAAGCAGATACACGATGAACGGCGATGGACCGAGCCCACTCACTGCGCATAGTGACAGCCACTCCGTCATTTCTGAGGGGACGGTGGCTTGCACTTGAGAGACTCTGAAGGAATACAGGGTTTATGATAATGATGTTTGCACTACTAAAATCTTCATAAATACAGAGGCCACTTGAAGGTTGACAGAATCCTCTTTCCTTCTCTCTCGGTGCTCACCACTTCCTGTGAAATAGGTTCCAGTCCAACTGTTTTCTTTTAAAGTGTTATTTTTCTCCCCCGTGATCAACAGCAACTCATGTTCACTGTATAAATATAGGCGAGTAAAGAGGCCATAAAAATGACCAGGATCCCATCCCAGTTAACCGTTGTTAACACTAGCATGTTTGCTCTTAAGGTTTTTTCTTCAGCCTGAACCTATAAGACTGAAACAAACAAAAACAATATACGAGGTGGGCAAAAGTAGCTTTACAGTTGTTCCTGTGGAAAAAGACATGCTGGTTATGATCATCATAATATCTTTATTAACTCTGTGTTCCACATACTCACATACAAAGCTGACGTTGGCCCACCCTTGTATATTTATATGTACATGAATCATGCTGGGATCCTATCTTAGAACCTGACTTTTGTTTTTCTTTCTTTCTTTTTTTTGTTACAGATGTTTCTTCTTTTTCCCTAATTCACACGCTCCTCCCAATTCAGCCCCCAACCCAGCATTGTTGTCTATGTCCATGGTTACACATACATGCGTGTAAGTTCTGTGGCTTATCTCTTTCCTCCCTCCATCCCCCTCTTCTGAGGGTTATCAGTCTGTACCCTACTTCTATGTCTCTGGGTCTATTTTGTTCATCAGCTTGTTTTGTTCATTATATTCCACAAATAAGTGAGATCATGACATTTGTCTTCCTCTGATTGGCTTGTTTCGCTTAGCGTAATACTCTCCAGGTCCCTCCATGTCATCTCAAAGGATAAGAGATCTTTCTTTCTTACAGCTGCATAGTATTCCATTGTGTGTATGTACCACAGGTTTTTTATCCACTCATCTACTGATGGACACTTGGGCTGTTACCAGATCTTAGCGATTTAGAACCTGACTTTTAAAAAACTTTTTAGTCCTGGCTGGTTTGGCTCAGAGGTTGGGACATCGGCCCGTGGATCGGGGAGTCACGGGTTCACTTCCAGTCCGGGGCACATGCCTCGGTTGTGGTTCATCCCCGGCCCTGGTCGGGGTTGTGCGGGAGGCAATGAGTTGATGTGTCTCTCTCACATCGATGTTTCTCTCTCTCTCTCTTCCCCTCCCTCCCACTCTATCTGAAGATAAATGGAAAAATATCCTCGGGTGAGGATGAAAACAAAAACCTTTTTAATTCACTGTAAACATTTTCCCATGTCATTAGTCTTCTAGAACAATATTTTTACTGTTTGCATAGAATTCTATTTTACAAATGTCCCACCAATGTTATTACTATTTGACACCATAAACAATGCTGCAGCGAGCATCCCTATGACTATGTTTGTTACATGATCACTTTATTAGGAAACGTTCCTAGAAGTGATTGCTGGCTCCAGTGTACACATCTAAGGTCCCAACCCCCCCAGACAGGGTTCCAGTTTCCACTCCCACTGACCGTGTGTGAGAGCCATTTCCCCTGCTTCCCTGCGCCTGGGCCACCCCCGTACTCCAGGGAGGGCCACCGAGGTTCGGAGCAGTCCAGGACGAGGCCATGGTCACACGGATATAATGTGCCAAAACTTGGATTTGAATCGAAGTTTCCAGATTCTAAATCTGGAACTTTCCCTCCATAACAAAAATGCAAACCCTGTGTTCCTTCTAGTCTCCAGGCACCTCAGACGCGGGCCGACATCCTCTCGCGTCCCTTAGGCCCAGCTCTCATTTTAGCCACAGCCGGGATGGAAGTTCTGTGTCACATCCTGCTTCACGTGGCACACCTGTGCTCCGAGCTGACCTGAGTGTAGACAAAGGCACAGTGATACGAGACGAGGGTCGGAAGGCTCTGCTGCCCGGCTGGGACAGCTTGGCAGCCTCTGGTAACGGCCGTGGCAGATGCTGCTGGTGCCCTGCCCAGACCCCAGCGGCAGAGGGCAGTTCCCGGGGCAATAGCTGCTACCACAGGCTGGGTCTCTCTGCTCCTCCCCCAGGGCAGGCACAGCCAGGAGTGCCGAGGGTGTCCTGATGGGCAGCCTTCACCCAGCAGGGGGCAGGAGCCAGGTCATAAATGCCCAGTGTCCGTCCTCTGGAAGGACAGTCCTCAGGTGTGATCCACACCATTTCTTGGAGGACATTGAGCAGGCTGAGCCCCAGGTGCCTTCAGGGTTAATCTGCTGGCACACACATCCTTTAGTGACTTCTCTCCCCTTTCTCTGCCATGTCACCTCCTCCACCTTCTGACTTGTTTCCTGGGCTCACTTTCCACGGAAACACCTGCACCCAAGCCCCTGTCTTGGTGTCCTGTTCTGGGGAATCCCCAACTAAGACGGTGCTGTGTCCCTTCCTCCTCCTATGTTCCTTGTAGTGGGGTTTGCTATAACAAGTACACCCCAAGATGCTTTGCTCAAATAAAATAGAAATATGTGCCTCTCAGGCAACAGTCCAGGTGGGGCTTCCAGGGTATGTGTTCTAGTTCAGCTGGAAGGGGATCTGCTCCACCCAGTCACTCAGGGACCCAGCAGCTCTGCCATCACACCATGTGACCCCTAGGGGGCGTCAGTGTCCAGCCCCCAGGAAGGGAAGACTTGGAGGTGCACCTGGGAGGTATGTGGCCAAGAGGTGGCACATATCACTCCTCTCTTTTTCCCCTTGGACCAGTCTAGGATTGTTACCGAGAGAACCTGGTCTGTGCCACAGCTAACTGAAGGGGAGGCTGCTCCGCCATCCGCCCCGCTACCCTTCACTGCTGGGCGGGGGGAAGCTCGCGTATCCTGGTGAGCTTCAGCAGCCTCACGTACATCCCTCCAGTCCACCTCCGAAACAGACAAAAAACCAACGTACCGTTTGCATATGTTTCTCCTTGAAACACAGTTACAGTATTTTGCGATTTTATTTGTAATTTTAGGCAACAGGGGGGTCGGGCACCTGCTCTGCAAAGATGAGCTGCTGAGGGCCTCTCTGTCGCTGTCCCACGCCCGCTCCGTGCTCATCACCACCGGCTTCCCCACGCATTTCAACCACGAGCCTCCGGAAGAGACGGACGGGCCGCCGGGAGCCATTGCTCTGGCCGCCTTCCTGCAGGCCTTGGAGAAGGGCGTCTCCTTGATCGTTGACCAGAGGGCCTGGAGTTTGTTCCAGAAGCTTGTTGAGGAGGCTGTTGAGCGAGGTGAGCAGAGTGAGGGGGGGGGGGGGGCGGTGGACGGAGTCAGTGTGTGGAGCTTCTGCTGTGCACTGGACATGGGCGTTTTAAGTCCTTAAAGCTCAAGAACACTCTTTGTTATGAGCCAGTGACATTATTGCCATTTTGTAGAGGAAGGGACTGGGGCTCTGAGAGGTCCAAGTGATGCACTGAGGTGGGAATGGGGATCTGGAATTTGAACCCAGTCCATCAGGCCTCAGAGCCCATGTACCTGTGCCCTCCCTGTGAGAGGTGGGAGTGACCTAGAGAGGACTCAGCAACCCAGGACATCCTGGTCCCCTGGGGTTGGGGGTGGGACAGCCCGGAATAGAGTGGTCGAGAGGCTCAGACAGCGGCGTCTCCTGGCGCAGATGGGAAGGGATGCCCACACTGCTCAGGTCCAGAGCACCCAGGTGGCATCAGAGCTGCGAGTGATGCCTGAGAGCTAGGGTGCCCAGGTCTGCCTCAGGTGCCTCGCCTGGCCTCCGTGCTGCGGGTGCTGCTCAGGCACAAGCGGGGAGCCCAGTGAATCTCACCTGCCTCCCACTGCCTGTCTCTCTGTGTCCCTCAAAAATGCATCCTCAGGAAGTATTTTCTTTTAGCCTCTAAACAGGGCTCCCACCCTGCAAGGCATACCCTGAAGCCCCCGTGGCTTCGGAAGTTTCCAAAAGGTCGTGTCTGAACAGAACCCACATCAGGCAACAGATGTGTGTTGAGCACCTACTATGTGCCAGGCACTACTTTTGGCTCTTGAAAGTCATCGGTGAACAGAACTGGTAACAGTCCCACCCTCGTGGGGCGTATATTCCACTGCAGTGTGACAGACAGTAAACCACATAGGGAAAGTGAAGTAACGTGGCCCAGGTGGTGGGCTGTGGTTTTAAACAAGGTGGTCAGACAAGTCTTCGTGGAGAAGGTACCATTGGAGCCAAGACTTGAAGTCGATGAAGGAGTGAGGCCAGGGCTGGCTGGAGGAAGAATGTCCAGGCTGTTCCCACGGCCAGGACGGGCCATTAGGTGGAGTGTAAGAGAGGGCAGTGGCCAGCTGACAGCCTGGCACAGGGCCAGACCGGGAAGGGCCTCGAGGGAACTGTGAGCACCTGGCCTTTTCCTCTGGGTGGGGTGGGGAACCCTTGAGGCCACTGAGCAGAGAGGGGCCGTGTCCTGGCTCAGGTTTTTTTTTTTTTCATCCTCACCCAAGGACATTTTTTACCATTTTTTGTTCAGATAAAGTGGGAGGGAGAGAGAGAGAGAGAAACATCGACGTGAAAGGGACACATTGAGTGGCTGCCACCCACACGACCCAACCAGGGCCGGGGACAAACTGCAACCGAGGTACATGCCCTTAGCGGGAACTGAACCCGAGTGACCACAGGCTGACGCTCTAACCGCTGAGCCCAACCGGCCAGGGCCTGGCTCAGGTTTTAAATGACCCCTGGTGGCTGTAGAAACAGGAGACTGGCCAGGATATTGCAGGAGACGAGGGTGGCTTGGAGGGGGTCCCTTTGGCCCCCTTGTGATTTCAGCTGCAGGGTGGACGTTCTGAGTCCCACTGACCTGACCAGCCCCACCCAGCCAGTGTTCTGCAGAGTTTCTCCAAAGCTGTGATAAACCACTCAGCCTGGAAGTTTGGGAGCTAATGGCTTTGTGGGGGGCTCAACCAGTAGCGGACAGGAGCCTAGAACAGCAACCTAGAAAATCCACATTCCCTCCTATTGGCTCTTCCTCCTTCCCGTCTTCTCCTGTTCCCTCCCACCTGCCTCCTGGGGTCATCTCCCAAAGAAGCCACCCGCACCCAAGTCCCTGTCTCAGACTCTGATTTCTGGGAACCCAGACAGATGAATGTACAGAGGAGGCTGTGAGAAGGAGCCAGACAGTCTGTGTTTGAAGGCAGAGTCCCCCTGGGCGGATGGATGTGGTGTGAGCTGGAAGAATCGGGTTGCTCTGAGGTGCTGGCAGGTGACCGCAGGGATGGAGCTGCTGTGAACCGGGACAGGGCGGTGGGTGGAGCCGGCTGACGCCTGCGCACTGTCGGTGGGGATGTGACCTGGTCAGCCACTGTGGAAATCATAGGGTGGCTCCTCAAAAAATTAAAAATAGGAAATATCTATATAAGTCAGCAATTTCACTTTTGGGTCTATATCCAAAAAACTGAAAACAGGCTCAAACAGATGTTTGCACACTCACATCCATAGCGGCATTATTCACAAAGGCAAGAGACGCAGGCACCCAGGCGTCTGTCCGGGAATGCGCGGAGGGACGCAGCGGGGTCTCTCACGCCACGCAGGATCGTTCTGCCTTCCCAAGGAAGGAAATCCTGACACATGCTACAACTCGAACCTCGAAGACGTCATGCTAAGTAAAATAAGCCAGACACAAGAGGACAGACACTGTGGTTCCTCTTACATGAGGTCCCTAGAGTAACTGAAACCACAGGGCACGGTGGTTGCCAGGCACTGTGGGGGGCGGGGGTGAGGGCTAGTGTTTAGTGGGTACAGAGTTCCAGTTTGGGAAGGTGTAACGTTCTAGAGATGACGGTGATGCCAGTCAGACAACACGGGAATGTACTTAATGCCGGAGAACTGTGCACTCAAAAAAGGGTAAGGTGGTCAACTTTAGGCGACGTGTTTGCCACAGTTACAACTTACAAGAGTGCAGGGTGTAGCCTGGGTGACTGATAGAGCGGGGCGCCTACTAGAGACACAGCGGAGACCCAGCAGGCGGTTAGATCTACGAGTCAAGTTCAGGAGAGGAGTCTGGGCTGGCGAGATAAATTAGCGAGTGGTTGGCACATTGATGACTTTTGAAATCAAAGACACTGGATGACATCACCAAGAGAACAAGTGGAGACAGAGGAAAGGACCCAGGTTGTGCCCTGGGACGCTCCATGTTGAGAGGTTGAAGGGGAGGAGGGTAGTCAGCCGGGAGACAGAGAAGGAGCCGCGCTGGGGAAGGAGAAAACCAGGGGACTGTACTGTCACCAAGGAGAAGGGCCCGCCAACTGTGCCAACTGCCACCAACAGCCAGCAATTGTTTCCATTTAAGAACTGCTTTGGGGGGTATTTTTAGCTGCCCACTTTCCCAGGAGTCACTCTGGCCTCCTGCTCACCTGGTCGCCGGCCTCGGGGGCTCATGAACTTGAGCTCAGACTTGGGCTCATCCACACAGTGGCTTAGCGGGTGAGGTTGGCTGTGTTGGATTTTACAGAGGTTTCATTATGTGTGGACGAAGAAAATAAAAGTGATTTGACCTTTTAATGAAAAAGATTCCAGTTATTTTTATAACAGAAGCCTAGGAAATGTTTAAAGAAGAAAAAGCTGAGTCATTTTTTCCTCATCTTGAGTATAAATTAACCACGTTGATAGATTGGTCTCTGTAGCTCAGGTGCAAGGTCTCCGCTTGCCTCGACCTCCCTTTCCCGAGGCTTTGCCCACCCTGTGAGCCCACTCGGGTATAGTTTATGTCCCCTGCTCTGGTCGGCTGCCTGTTTGCCTAAGTGATGCAGCACCTCTGCGCCTCAGTTTCCCTCCTGTGTAAAATGGGGATCACACTGGTTCTTATCACACAGAACTGTTGTGAAAATTAAGTGAGAGCCTACACGTCCCGTGCTTAGCAAAGGGCTGGCTCATTGTCACCGAGGGCACCCAAATGTGTCCCCAGCATCACGATGCCCGTGGCTCAGAGCAGGCTGTGTTCACATGGTCTGCAGCGCCCGTGTGGGCTTGTTCACTAGCCCACAGTAGCGGTGACACCAGCCGATTTCATCTCCCCCTCCACCAACCCCAGGGTTTACTCAGGACCAAAAGTAAGTAAACCTAAGTATCCACTGGGCCGAAGTCTTGGCTTACCTAACTAAGTATTCCACAGGTAAATGTTGTTCAGTAATGGAAATGATCATTTCCAAAGACATTTTTGAAAAGCCGACAGGAATTCCCCAAATTGACGTGAGGCTGGGGCACCCACTCTGCCTTTCTTTTCAAGGTGTTCTGAAGACCCAGCTCCCGGTGCTCACTTACCAAGGCGGGTCGGCAGGAGCGGCTCGGGCGCTCCTCTGCGATGACAGGGACCCCAAGTCTCCTCGGTATGTGTGTCCCTTCCCAGTCTAGATTCGGTGACGGTGGAAAAGCCCATGTGCAGTGAACTTTGACAACGACATTCCTGTACACGTCAGCCCTCCAGAGCCACGGGTTCCAGTGGGCCAGTAACCAGCGGGGCCGGGGCCTTCAGAGTGTCCTGGGGCTTCACACAGGGTCTCTCGGAGTAGCAGGTCCCTGAGATGGCACATCTTCTTGCAAGAGGGAGAAGAAAATGATAAAAAAAAAAAAAAGCGAGCAGTTTCCCAAACTGGCTCATGGTCCACTGGAGAGTAGTGAGATCATTTCAGTGCAGGGCGGGGAGAGGGGAGGTAAAACCAGCACCTTTCTCCAGGGAACAGAAACATCATTGTGCATCTTGTATAGGGATAGTGAGTTCTCGCTTGTGAAACTTCGTGTGTGTGCGCGTGGGTGTGTATGCATTTTTTTACTGTGTGTTGTGGTCAGACATTTTGAAAAACACTTCCTTGGTGAGTGGAGGATGTATTTCAGACCTTGTACATTTTAGTGCTGGGTTTTGCAAACTTTTTTTTTTAAATCCTCACCTGAGGACATTTTTCCATTTTTTATTCAGATAGAGTGGGAGGGAGAGAGAGAGAGAGAGAGAGAGACATCAATGTGAAAAGGACACATTGAGTGGTTGCTACCCGCATGACCCAACTAGGGCCGGGGACAAACTGCAACCGAGGTACATGCCCAAACCCGGGTCTCTCCAGACCACAGGTCGACGCTCTAACCGCTGTACCAAACCGGCCAGGGCTGCAAACGTTTTTAACAACGTCCCACAGTAATACATTTTGCATTGCAAATCACACACACACACAAAACAGAGGTTTCAAGAACATTTACCCTTGCTACGTGCAGTGTACTCTGACCTATTCTATTCTATTCTGTTCTGTTCTATTCTGTTTTCATCTGTTTTCAGAAAATGCTGACCTGACCTAATAAGTCTATTTTACAACCCACTAGAGTGTCCACTTAGAATTTACAAACACTGCTTTACTAGGCCTGGAAGGTTAGCTAGACCGCAGCTCACGTGGGACCCGGAGCACCGAGGGAAAGTTCAGTTGCAGATCCGATGTGCTATTTAAAGCTGCAGGAACGTGTGTGGTGTCTGCTAGAAATGTTTCGATGCCCTGGGTGGTTGGCATACCCACGAAGCTCCGGCTCCTCAGGGAGAAGCTAGAGAACCCTCCTGGGCAGGGCCCTGTTGCCAGGTAACAGAGAGGTTGCTCTCCTCGCTGAATGGGGGAGGGGAGTCGGATCTGACTGCAGGGAGAGAGGATGCTGCTCTCTTTAGAGAAGATGCACTAACTTTTCCCAGGGAACAGACTCCCAGGAGTGAATTACTTCCCTTCTGGCTTAAAACAAACAACAACAATCAATCCACCTTCACAAGGGATGCCACTGAGTTCTCTGGGGGAGGTCCGGGAACAGCATTCTGCTTCCAGAGCAGAGCGTGCCGAAATGACCTGGAGTTCCTGTGTGGACCTGTTTTCCGTCACCGCAGATGTCTCTCTAGAGGGGACACAAGGCAGCTTCTTCTGCCTGTTGCTTCTGCTTCTCGGGGGCTGTCTTTCCTGCACTGGGCACGGCGCCCCGGGATTACATTCCAACCCCTGTTCCGTGGCCTGCTCATCGAAGCATGTGCGACGCCACCACATTCTAGCTCAACCACAGGACGGGGACCGCACAGAGGTTTTGTTTTTCAAAACATGTACAGAGAAAGCATTCAGAGTTAAGGTTTTTTTTTTTTATTATAGTAAAATATACATAACATAAAATTTATCATTTTTGCCATTTTGAGTGTACAGTTCTGTGTCATCAAGGACATGCACATTGTTGGGCAACCATGACCACCATCCATCTCCGGATCATTTTTATTTTTCCAACGGAAACTCTGTACCCATTGACTATTCTTCCTGACCCCCAGCCCCCAATATCCACCCTTCTACTCTATGTCTCTGTAAATGTGACTGTTCTAGGACCTCATATAAGTAGAAGCAAATAGTATCTGTCCTTTCGTGACTGGCTTCTTTCACTTAGCAAAATGTCCTCGAGATCCATCCCTGTCGTAACCTGTGTCAGAATCCCCGTCCTTGTTTGGCTGAGTAACATTCCATTGCGTCGTACACCACATTTTTGTGTATTTGTTCATCTGTTGACGGACGCTGGGTTGCTTCCACCTTCTGTGGACAGTGAATAATGCCGCTAGGAATGTGGGTGTGTGAATGTCTCTTGGATGCCCAGCTTCGATCCCTTTGGGTGGATACCAGAAGTGGAAGTGCTGGGTCACACGGTAATTCTATTTAAAATTTTTTAGTAACCCCCACACTGTTTTTTACAGCAGAGTTAAGATTTTGAGGAACTCCATCGTGGAGGGGGAAGGGGAGTTAGAGAGATATTAAAGCACAATTTTCGTGTTTTAAATCGGATTATCACAACAATGTTCCTCCTCATAATGACAGCAACCACAACCACTGCACTTACTGAGCACTGAGGAGGTGTGGTGCTTTATGCTGAGCGCCTCTTGTACATTTTCTCATGTGATCGTCTCTGCTCTGCATGAGACAGGTACTGCTGTTAGGTCATGTGACAGGTGCAGAAAATGAGGTCAGAGAGGTTAAGTAACTTACCCAGGGCCAGTGGCATGAGGACCTGCGTAATCTGATGCCACAGCCTGCATTCTTACCACCGTGTACCCCTTGTCTCTCTGTCTCTTTCTGCCAGAAGTTCATCTGGCGGTAAATTCAGTGGCCTACTGTTTCAATTCCTCTTTAGTCTATTCGTGTCTGTAAACTCAACAAGAGACTGGGAGAGGGCAGTGGCGGGCTGGTAGCAGCTAGCACTCAAACCACTGGGCCAGGCTCCAGCATTGTCCACGCGTGACCCTGACCGTCCGCCTTCCTGCTCTCACCACCTCTGATTCTGCTCAATTGCTGACGATTCTGATATCATTTCTTTCAATGAGCAGAGAGACCAGCCTCCAGCACAGGCCCTGGCACATAGTGGACAGTCAGCCAAGCTCTGTAGGAATGAAGGAGTCAAAGACAGAATGACATATCCTTCACAGCAACACACGGAGGCCTGACGCTACAACATGGCAGCCACACTCTCCATAAGGACCCTGTGTCTTGCTCCCTGGCAGATTCGACCATCTGGTGGCGATAGAGCGCACAGGGAGGGCTGCCGACGGCAACTACTACAACGCCAGGAAAATGAACATCAAGCATTTGGTCGACCCCATCGACGATCTTTTCCTTGCAGCGCAGAAGATTCCTGGAATCTCATCAACTGGTAAGCAAGAGGCACCAGGAACATGTGAGCATGAAATGCCTTTTATTGGCTGCTGAACACAGGACAGGAAGATTTATGGGGACCATGGTTTTCCACTCCAGACATGGTCTTTGTTTCCTTATGGTCTGTATAGACAAGGATGACATCGTCATTTAGAAATCCATTGTTCCCGCAAGCAACAAAGGGAAATGACGTTTAACCTAGTATATTCTATTTCCCCAACTCTAAAATATTAAAATGAATAATAGACCCTGGTGAGTGTGGCTCAGTTGGTTGGAGTGTTGTCCCGCACACCAGAAAATGGCGGGTTGGGTCCCTCGCCAGGGCACATACCCGGGTTGCAGGTTCGATCCCCAGTTGGGGTGCATGTGGAGGCAACCAATCAATGTTTCTCCCTCCCATCGATGTTTCTCTCCCTTCCTCTCTCTTGAAATCAAGGAAACTAACTAAATAAATATTTTTAAAAAACGAATAATAGAATGAGAATAATAAAATCGAGGCATGACATATTATTTCGGTCACATAGGATGAATATGCCATGTATACTATGTATCCTCTTAGGAAGCATATGAATTTAAAAATATGTTAACTATGTGATTAGTGCAATATTTTGATTGCTAATAATACCACAGTGTGATCATTTGTGTCAAGTACAGAACTTTATAGTTTTCAAAGACGTTTCCTATTTATTGTATTGTTTAAGCTTCTTTAAAACGCTGTGAGGTAGGTAAGGCAGGTATTGTGTCCACAAATGAAGCCTGGAGGGGCTTCTTGAGGTTGCCTCACTGATTGGTGTTGCTGGGAGAATTAGGAGCAGAGCTCAGACTCCTCCCCAGATCCTACCTGATAAGTTTTTTTTTTAAATTCTCACCTGAGGATATTTTTCTATTTATCTTCAGATAGAGAGAGAAGGAGAAAAAGGGAGAGAGACAGAAACATCTACTTGAGAGGGACATACCGACTGGTTGCTTCCCACTCTGAGCCCAAGGTACATGGGCTTGACCGGAATCGAACCTGCGACTCATTGGTCCCCGGGCCGAGGCTCTAGGCTGAGGCACACCGGCCAGGGCCTGATGAGCTCTCCATGGACTGAGGCTGGATGCAGTTCCTAAAGAGAATCAGCCTTCCTCCCCTGGGGGTGTTTATCCTCTCAAACACTAGAGTGTTTCCCAGACTCATTAGTCACTTTAGGCTTTTAAGGTTTTGATAAAACAATGAGTTTTCCCAGCTGAGTAGAACATTTCTGCAAATCTGCCCACTCTTTCCCAGAAGAGGCCTCGGGTGTGGTGCCCACAGCAGGGCTGGTTTTGTGCTTCCTGTCTCTCCGGGCAGGGCAGGCCCAGGACCTAGGGCCTGGGGGGAGGGATTCCCAGGGTGGAGAAGGAAAGGCTCTCTGAGTCCGGAGGACTGAACAGGCCCTATCTGTGCTGATGTCCCCGGGAGGGACCCCCGAGATCCCAGAGTAAGCACGTGGAGCTGACTGGTGTGCCTTCAAACTGCCCCCTCCGTGGGCCTCTGGATGCTTCTCTTGGTCTCGGGGGCTCAAGTCCGCCCTGTGGTTTCCCACAGCACCCTGCCTGCCCTTTCTCTCCTCTGCTCCATCAACACCCCGTTCCTGTTTCCCCAGGCAGCTGCCTCATTGTGCACACAGCACTCAAACGAGAACCAAGACTCCCGCCTTCCCCTTACGACCCAAGTCCTGCCCTTGCCAGTGGCTCTGCTGGGTCAGGAAAACCAGGCCGTGGTCTGGCGTGAGGAGTGAACAGGATGAAATTCCCACAATGCTAAATAGCAGGCAGAAACGGACAAAACACCAAAGCTGGGCGTCGTCATTATTTTCCTCCATTCGGTGCGCTGGCACGGACCTGGAAAACTGTTCTGAGAAAAATCCTCCGGGCGTGGACCTAAGGAAGGTGGTCATTCACAGCTGTCCGGTTCTTGTGGCCGAGCCCAGGTCCCTGATGCTCGAGGTGGTCACCCCCACTTCCCCTGTCCACCACCTCACAGTGAATGCTGACCTCTGGCCGAGCTTCCCTTGCATCCCCCGCCGTTGCAGACACAGACGCAGGAACGGGCAGGCCGTCACGCGAGGCCTAATGACGTCTCGGTCGGCAAAGCTGGTGGCCACCATGCCGTGTGCGGCTGGCAGCGGCCTCGTGTTTACCTCGTCTCCTAACTGCATGTTTGTCTCGTGCTTGATTTAATCTCGCGTTCTGTTCATCACGACGCCTAAACATACAAAATCACTGCTAATGTTGCCAGGAAGAGGCGATGTTGAGTGGCTGCCCCAGAAAAGAAATGAAGATTAGGGACTATGACGGGGGAAATCACCGGTCAGACGCGCCCTAGTCCACCGCAGCGAGGATCTGGAAGAACGAGAACCGAGTGGCAGAAGCTGCTGAAGGGTCTGCATCATTGAAGGCAATGGGACTACAAGCATTTGAGAAGGGCCCATATCAGACGTGGAGAAATGTCTCATTACCTGGATTGACGACCAGACACAGAAGCGTGCCCCTCTCAGCACTGTGAGGATCACAGCCAGAAGGTCTGAGCCGGCAGGAGATCACATCCACAACGCAAGGCCCACACACAGCAAAACGATTGTATTGCATGCTGCGGGGTGCAGGCGGGCTGAGCTGAAAGGGGTCAGCCTCGAACAACAGTTGGGATATAGGTTATATACTCTACTTCTAGCTTCCAGCAGCTCCTGCTGACGTAGTCTGCCTGGTCCGTTGTCCACTTTGCAGTTGGACTGGTCTGGTATCACATCTTGCATCTGCCGGGTGATTCATTGCCTTGCGGATAATCCAGATAGTCTGTACTCAACAGAAGGCTGAGCAAAGGTCATGCAAGCAACACATTTTTCACAGTTTCCACCTTTTGCAAGCTTTTACCTTTACCCTTGAAAACGTCACTAACCCTTTCGACAACCAAAGCAAAACATCTGTGGGCGATGTTGAAAGAAAAGGCTGGACCGGACGATGATGAACTGACTGTCAGCTCTGGGTGATTTAAACAGCTCAAGAGCCGTTATTCATTCCATGATCCGAACATGAGGGGTGAGTCTGCCGGGGCTGAGGCGAAGGCAGCTGGAGGGTTTCTGGAGACTAGATAAGCTGACTGTGGAGGAATACTCGCCAGAACAAATTTCAGTATGGATGAAACCTCCCCGTTCTGGAAACAGATGCCGGAAAAGTCTTTCCTCCATAAGGAAAGACCAAGCCTCAAGGCTTCGAAGCACAGGGTAAGTGTTTGCTTGGGGCAGTGTCGCAGGCTGCAGATCGAGTCCCTTTAATCTGGCACAGGGAGAAGCCGGGGCCTTCAAGTTAACACTAAGCACACACTACCCGAGTCCTACGGGAGCAACAAGAAGCATGGATGACCCAGCTCCTCTTCCAGGAGGCCTTCCTGAGTTGCTTTGTGAGCACAGTGGAGAGGTTTGTTGGGAGATGAACATATCTTTCAATGTTTTGCTTATTTTTTTTCTTTATTTTTTTCCATCATCATTTATCCCCACTATTCCCTCTTCCACCTCCTCCCACCCCCGCTTATTGTTGATAATGCTTCCGGACGTCCTCCTTTTACTGGTGATCTTCATCCCAACATCAAAGTGGCATTTCTCCCTCCAAACACAACCTCTTTGATCCAAACAACAGATCGAGGAGTTGTAGCAGCTTTTAAGGCCTCCTCCCTGAGGAGGACCTTTGCCCAGGCTGTTGCTGTAACCGAGGAGACGGCGATGCAGTTCTGGAAGGGTCTCCTCACCTGTGACCGCACCGGGACAGTGCTTGGGCGATGTCCCCGAGGAGTATACGAATGGCATCTGGAAGAAGACACTGAACAGGTTTGTCCAGGATGTCAAGGGTTTCGCCAAGGGTGAAGGGTTGCAAAAATCACCAGGGCTGTGGTTGAGATGCTGTAAGAACGAGGCGGAACGAGGCGGTGCAGGGTCTCCAGAATGAGGTGCAGGTGTATTGGGAATCAGCCTGCCGGACTACCTATAAGGAGAGAGTAGCAACCGGCTTGTCCTGACTAAGGATTTTTAAATTTAGGGTTGGGGGTGGTGGCTGTTCAGCCAGGAGTTGTGGTCATCCTTGATTGGTCGGGGCTGGGGTCTCCCAAGTTCTTGATTGGTCAGGGCTGGGGTCTCCTGAAACTTGTTTTTCTTGTCAGGCAACCGTTTGCAGGTTTGGGTGGGTCAGGGTGGTTCCATCATTCCATTCGCCTGACTGGAGTGATGGGTTTGGTTTCCTGGAATGAGAGGCTGGGGGCATTGATATGAAAGTAAAAGATGTAAGAGGCTCGGGCAGTAATACGGAAGTTAGAGCTAGCAATGGCCACCGGCTTGAACCCGGCTGTGGGTGAGGAGGACACCGAGGAGCCCCCAGAGGTGGTTCCCGAGGAACTGACTGACAGCTGTTGGAGCTGGAGCAGGAACGCAGAGCTGAAGAAGCAAGAGACACGGAAACTACAGGAAAAGAAGAAGAATCCCCAAGAAAATTCACAGTGAAGGATTTAGCAAAAGCTTTTGCAAACCTCAACAAGCCCCATTAAAAACTTTGAAAACAGGGACCCCAACCCCGACCTAGTTTTCGCTACTAGAGCGGAACGTTCACGGTGCACTCTGCTTGCACGCAAACCTGTGATGGAAAAAGGAAACAAACCAAGCAAACCACGAACTTGACTCGGAAAACAGTGAACCCGCCTCAGAGCCTCAGGCAGGTGTTCCAGGAGGAGGCCAGTTATCAAAGCAGATGACAGCTCCTTGTGCGTATTTCCCCTGAAGACCTTCCCGCAGGACAAGGCGTGGAGACAGTGGTGTGATCAGGACCCGTGCAGGCCTAGGCTAATGGGTGTGTTTGTATCTAAGCCTTTTAACAAAGTTTAAATAGTAGAAAGAGCCCAGTCATCGTGGTTCAGTGGTTGAGCAACGACCCATGCACCATGAGGTCACTGGTTCGATTCCCGGTCAGGACACATGCCCAGGTTGTGGGCCTGATCCCCACTCGGGGACACGTAGCAGGCGGCCAATCGATGTTCCTATCTCTCTCTCCTTCTCCCTTCCTCTCTCTCTAAAATCAATAAAGAAAAAAATATATTTTTAAGTAAAAAAATTGTTCAAAAAATTTCAAACTAGGAAAAAGCGTATAGAATAAGGACATAAAGAAAAAACATTTTTCTGCAGCTATATAGTGTGTGTTTTGAGCTAAGTATTGTTACAAAAGAGTCAGAAGGTTAAACAATTTTAAAAGTCGGTAAAGGAAAAAAGTTACAGTAAGCTAAGGCAAGTTTCTTATTGAAGAAAGAAAACTGCTGTTCCATGAACTGAGTGTAGCCTGAGTGTGCAGCGTCCAGGGATGTCCTCCCTTCACCTTCCCTCCCCTCGCTCTCGGACTCCCCCGAGCGGCTGCAGTCAGCAAGCTGCATTCCCCTCAGGGCCCTGCACGGGGCACCGTCGTTTATCTTCTATCCGTATGTCTGCTGTGCCCTTTCTGTGTCTAGATACACAAACACCGTGTGTCACAACCGCCGCTGTTCCGTGCCTCAGCAGGCTGCACAGGTGTGCAGCCTGGGAACGGGGAGCTGGACCGCGCAGCCGGGGTGCGCAGCGGCTGCACCGTCTCGGTCTGTGTGGTGGCTCCGCTGTCTGCACAGCGAAATGACCTCACCATGCATTTCTCAGCAGGGCCCCTGGTAAGGGGCGTGTGCTCTCACACCGGTCTGTGGGCGCAGAGGCCCGGCTCTACTCCCCAGGCCCTCGGACAAGCACCCTGAGGCAGTTATCCTGAGGCAGCCACAGCCGACTTCTACAGGCAGCGAGGCAGGAGTGGAGAGCTGGCCCTGCCCCACAACGCCCCCATTCTGGCCTGATCCTATGTGCTGACTCAGCTTGTCTTCCCTCCAGGGGTCGGTGACGGAGGCAATGAGCTTGGCATGGGCAAAGTCAAGGAGGCCGTGAAGAGCCACATACGAAATGGGGATGTCATCGCCTGTGACGTGGAGGCTGACTTTGCTGTCATCGCTGGTGAGTGCGCAGAGGGCTGGCCAGTCGGGCCTGGCTGCCCAGGGGGAGGGACCTGGCTTGGAGCCTGTCCGGCCAGACATTTATTACACAAAAAATGCAAAGAACTCTTAAAACTCCACAATAAGAAAACAAACAACCTGATTAAAACATGGGCAAAAGACCTAAAACAGACACCTCACCAAGGAAGATACAGAGATGGCAGGCAGGCGTACGAAGAGATGTCCAGCATCCTGTCTCTGGGCTCCACTCTGGATTCACTTTCCAGCCAAGACACCCAGCAGAAGAGGAGGAAACAGGCCTCCGCGTTGGCTTGCTGTTGGCAGATCCGTCGTAATCTGCCGGTCTCCTTTATCATGGGGTCTTGGGTCCGAGGGGAAGGGAGCCTCCAGAGAATTTGTTTGGAAGTCCTCAGATTCCGTCAAGTTTATCTGCCACCCAGAATGGAGGTTCTTTGTTTAACCGGTCATACCCAACAGGCTTGGCCCTCTGCATCTCTGACGTGGTGACTTCCACAGCAGGTCGGGTTCCCTAAAGAGAGGAGGGTACCCCACTTGACAGTGGGGGGAGGGCTTGCTGTTTGGAATGAAGGCTTTGGATGAAAATCTGTAGGTTTGGGGATGAGGGAGATGAACAGGGGTCCCTCCAGTCGGGCCAGGAGCTGCTAGGACCTGAAGACAGAATGTTCCTGCAGCTCAGCATAACGAGGAAGGTCAAGGGCTCTGGATTCAGGCAGGCAAGTGGCAGCTTATTCCCAAGCCTCGCTGAGGATCAGCCTTCCTAAAGTCCTGGCCAGCGGTCACAGAGGATGTGCAGCTTTTGTAACAGGCTGGGTGGACACCGGGCGGCAGGCAGAGAGGTCTCCCAGGAGAGAGAATCGGGAGGTACAGCGGCCCTGCCCAACTCCATCCTCGGCTCCTGACACCAGCGATGGAGGCAGACCCGGGACAGGTCAGCCACTTGCGGGGCCCAGCTCCAGTCAGGCCCAACAGGGTGCACCAGCCAGTGGCGCCCTGGCCCTAAAGGTGTGCGGCCCTGTCCTGTCTGGGGCCTGAGTCCCAAGCCAGCATAGAGATGAAAGTTTGCTGTGGGACTCAGGTCACAATGAGCCTCCAGGAGCAGGGTCCCTGCATGTGGGCTCAAGTCCAGTCCCCTTTCCTAGTCTTGGGGCTCTCTCAGCCTCATGTCCTTGATCCCCACCATGTACCCCATGATCCAGCCATGCATGGCTGCTGTCACTGTGCAAATGCAGCAATGGTTTAATTCTTGCAGTTGAAAAAATGGTATAACACAAAACTACAGACATTTTCAAAAGGCAGTAGTGACGGGTGATGGAAAGGGGCAGAAATGCCACCATCTCTCCAGAACCCAACCAGCATTTTTAGTTTTGCATGTCAGCTTCTAGTTCTATACTCAAGACATACCCGTTTTATGTAATTTCTACCTGCATTTTCAATAATTCCCCTTCCCTTTAATATTGCTACACATATATGTTATTTTCCACACTTGAGTGGAGGTTGAGTGTGGACTCAGGAGTTGCTGAACAGTGTGTATGTACTTAACACTGCTGCGCTGTGCACCTGGAAATGTCAAGCTGGTCAGTTCTATGTTATATGGGGTTTGTTTGTTTTTTTATCCTCACCCGAGGACACTTTTTTTTTTTTTTTGCATTTATCTTCAGATAGAGTGGGAGGGAAAGGAGGAGGAAGTGAGAGAGAGACACATGGATGTGAGAAAGACACATCGAGTGGTTGCCACCCACACGACCCCAACCGGGGCTGGGGACAAACTGCAACCGAAGTACGTGCCCTTAGCAGGAATTGAACCTGGGACTCTCCGGTGTGCGGGCCAAAGCCATAACCGCTGAGCCAAACTGGCCAGGGTTTGTTTGTTTGTTTTTACCACAACTGAAAATTTAAAAAAAAAAAATTTTTTTTAAGAGTATGGGCTCTGGAGGCAGCAGCCTTAGTTCACATCTCAGGTCCACCGCTTACTAGCTGTGTGGCCTTAGGCAAGTTACTAAACCCTCTGTGTCTGTGCCCCAGTTTTGTAAATGAAGAGAATAATAATACCTAGACCTCACAGGCTACTATAAGGACTCCAGGAGCTGATCCACGTAAGGCATTAAAGCAGTGCCGCATGTTATAAGTATTCAGTCGAAGCCCTGTACTCTATCCCATTGACTCTAAGATGCCATCGACGACGATGGCCATTATTTTATGTACCACTGAGGAGGGAAAACACTGCCGTGATGTCTGTAAGACAATGCTGACTGTAAGAGGCGCCTCAGTTTCCGAGATGTAAGTGTAAAAACGAAGCGCATCTAAGAATGAGTGGAACACAGTAGCAGTTTCATCACGCGAGCTTCCCCAGTCCATTCCGATGCGTGCCTCGTGTTGTCAGGCCATGCGCCTGCAGACTCGCTGAGTATTTGGATTTTTTCTACCTTTACCGTTCCTCTGGCAAATTCTACCCCGCCTACAAGGCCCGTATTAATCGCCCTTTTCTAAGTTAGTCAGAATGAGCGCCCTGCTCGGTGCCCCCACAGTCCTCTGTGCATGTCTCAGTCACGGATTGTGCCGTGGCCGGCCCTGTGCGGAGCCCCTCCCCCCCCTCCCCTCCCTGACCAGGAGCTCCTTTCTGTTTGATCCTCCAGCACGAGAGCTTCGCAGGTTCTTAACCAGCCTTCTCCAGCCAGGTGGAGAACTGACTGAGGCCGCTTTCAAGGAAGAGCCAGTGAGGTGGCCCCCAGAATGGGAACTAGCCCTTTGGGGCCAGCTGATGAAAGAGGGAGGAAGTGGGCTGACTTGGGGTCCTCTTGGGGCACAGGAAGAGCTGATACGGCACCGCGGTGGAGCTGCCCCTGCCCTCAGAGACGGGCTTCCACGCAGCCTGCGGTTTTGGGGCAGCCGTACCACAGGTTTCGGGGCAGCCGTACCACAGGGGAGAGCTCTGGGATGGCTTCCTCGGGTTACAGCCTCAGCCCTTTCTCTGGTGGCCGTTAATAGTACAAACGCAGATGGTTTAGAGCAGTGCTTCTCAGACTTGGACGCGAATCAGAACCACCTGGAGGGCTTATTGAACTCAGCCCCTGCGGTTTCCGATTAGGTAGATCTGGGCCACAGCCCAAGGGTTTGTGTTTCCATCAAGGTCCAGGTACTGCTGGGGCCACTGGTCCTGGGAACATTCTTGAGATGAGTTCTGATGCTTAGAGGCAGGGTGATGGACTGCACAACCTTTCCAGTTCTGTGTCGAGATCTGTTTTCTTCCTAGGTGTTTCTACCTGGGGAGGCTGTGCCTTAGCCTGTGCTCTGTACATCCTGAACTCGTGCGAGGTCCACGGGCGTTACCTGAGGAAGGCCACTGGGCCCCCCCGGGCAGCTGGGGCACAGAACTGGACTGAGGCGCTCCCATCCGTCAGTAAGGTAACAGACCCCCACAAGCTCGGGAGGCAAGTTTTCCCTGAGTGAGGAGAAGGCCTGGAGTTCCAGTCCCAGGCCACAGGCCAGCACCATTGCTGCCCGCCAGCACCCAGAGGCAGAGCCTGCTCGGTGTTCCAGCTGGACTGGATGAGGTGACCTGTGGCTGCTCATGTCCTAAATTATTATGGAAGACCTGATATCAATGACCATGTTCCTTCTAGTTTGACTTTAGGCAAGTTGCTTAAGCTCTCTGAGCCTCATTGCCTTTGTCCGTAAAATGGGGCCAGCAGCACTGTTGGAAGAACTGAATTTACAGGCAGACCTTGCAAATATTGTGGGTTTGGTTCCAGACCACCACCATAAAGCAAGTATCGCAGTAAAGCGAGTCGTAATTATTTTGCTGGTGGAGGGTCTTGCCTTTGATTTTTTTTTTATGCAATATCTGTGGGCGCAATAAGGCGGGGCGCAATAAAACGAGGTGTGCCTGTAGCTGTGGGTGTCCTTCTCATCCCCTTCCGAGAAGTTCCCAGTCCATCCAGGGCACTAAGCTCTCAGGTGGGATGGGACAGTTAGCCATCCCACTAAGTGCTAAGGTGGGGGGGGCTGCGGCGGGAAGAGGGTCCTGGGGGCTGTAGGCTGAGGGGGATGCACCCAGGAGGAGGCGGCGTTCTGGAGAGGAGAAAGGTGGGAGATGAGGACAAGCGCGGAGCTGGCGCGGGGAGGCTGCTGTTGAGTGGGAGGGCGACCCGCAGGGGCTGTGCTGCGGCAGGGGGGCTTCTGGCCCCAGATCACAAGCATGGCCATGAGCTCTTTGAAACACAGCAAAATCGTTCCATACCTGAATTTTTCTGGGCAAGGATCGGCGGTCATCAGATCCTCCGAGTAGTGGGGCATTGAGAGCCCCTGGGCAGAGGGAGGTCACGTGGCTGCATCCACTGAGGGTGCTATGAGAAGTGCCAGGGAGCCACGCGAGGGTTCTGAGCACGGGAATTGGGCGCACGGGGTTTGGTGTGAGCTCGTCTGACCGCAGAGCCAGCCCCCTGCAGGGCTGTGTGCAGAGGAAGGGCAGGCCTCACCTGCACACATGGCCGTTGAAATTCTGTCACCTCACATGTGCGGCGGGGGAAACACAGGACAGAGAAAGCCAGCCCTGTGAATGGTGCCAGAGATTCTGACCCAGAGCCCGAGCGGGAGACTGCGGTTCCTTGCTCTCCTGGGTCCCAGGCTTTCCTGGGGCAGACCCCGCCCCACTGACTCTGATTCCAGACCCACACCCGTCCTCTGGCGCTCCAAGCAGAGCCCGGAGAGAAGCTGGCGGTGCGTCCATCTCGAAAGGGCACCTTCTGGGGGGATTTTCCAGAGTAATTTGGGTCATGGGAAATTGGGGCCAAAGCCCTGAGTTTACATCTAAATCCCATTCAGAAGTGACTTCACCTGGGAGCCTCACCTGCGCTTCACGCTCACCTGAAGACGAGCAGGGGGGAGGATGGGCAGGAGGCTGGGTGGGCTGGACAGGCCTTGGGGGACAGTGGAGGCAGCTGAGGTGTTTGCCCTGGAGGAGGGAA